GGGGAGCTCCGGCGCAGGTGGCCCGGGAGACCCCAGCGGAGCAGGGCACGAGTCCCGGTGGCAGAAGCGGACCGTCAGACAGGAGGTGCTCGCAGCCCGTTGGGTTGTCAAAAAGCCGAGACAGGGCGGAGGAGAGCAAAAGAGAGAGTTGGAAGGGGCGACTTGTGTGTGTTGGGGTGGGGGGAGCAGAGACCTAATCAGGGCTGGAGAAGGGCAGGATCACGGCTGGTGAAGGGCAGGATCAGGGGTGGAGAAGGGCAGGAACAAGAGATGTCTGGGGGGGCCTGGAGGTTGGAATGACCTGATGGCCCCACCGTGCAGCTTGGGCCAAATCGTATTCCGCTCTTCCCTGGGCCTCTATTTCTCTCCCAGACCAAACTCCAGGAGGCAGAGAACCAGAGACTGGCATGGGAGGCAGACGGGGGAGACTGAGGCAAGGGTCCTGGGGTGGCAGAGAGAGGGGCTGGGGGTGCTTGGGGAGATGGAGCAGGCCAGACACAACTCCTGAGCGGGGCGGAGAGGCTGGGTCCTCAGGGAAGTCGCCTTCCTGGGCTGTGAAATGGGCGCGATGTAAGACCAGCACTGTCTCTCCCCCAACAAGTAATTTCTGACGCGCACAGGAATGTGCAGTGTCCACCCTCTGTTCTGAAGCGCGTCTTTTCTCCAGCGGTTGCAGCTGCTGGGAGCTGGCTTAGTCTGAAGGCCTTTTAAAAACTGAACTGTGGTAAAAGGGCAAAGGCCGGATGAGCCACGACGCTCTTTTCCCTAATATTCTAGTATGGAAAGTGCCAAACACATAGGGAAAATTGAAACAACTTTGCACTGAATACTGGCCTACCCAGCAACATTGCATTTTCCAGACGCTTCAGAAGAAGGGCAAGATGGAGAGAGTAAGACAGCCTGGTGTGGGCCCCAAGACAGACACGTGGGGCATCAAACAGAAGCCGGAGCCCCACCGCACCCATAAACATGGGTATGTCAGAGGCAGCCACGCAGCTGAGGGGAGGGGAGGAGGAGGAAGCCTGGCAGACTGTTTGCTAAATTGTGCTAAGAAAATGGGTTAACCCTAAGAAAAGGAACGAAATTGGACCCCCTACTGCACATCATACACAAGATATCAAGTCCATGTGGATTAAAGACCTAAATATGAAAAGTCATACTTTAAACATTTTTTTAGAAAGAAGTATAGGAGACTATCTTGATTACTTTAAGGTCAGGAGATATTTCTTAATGCAGAAGAGCAGATTGTAAAGGAAATGACTGAAGAAAATTCATCGACAATACAATGAAAAACTTCTGTCAATCGAAACATTGTAATAAAGTGGCAAAGGAAAACCACAAACTGGGAGAAGGTATTTGCAACGACGTAATTCATATACAGAATTATATAAATACATGACATGGGCTACTAGATGCAAATAGGCATTTGACAAAAGAGGAAACGGGAATGGTCAATAAATATGAAAAGATGCTCAATCAAATCAGGGAAATACAAATTAAAACTACTGGCCCCACTGGGGAGCCATGTCCAGCCTGCTCTATCTCACCAAGTCCCCCCAGTCCCTCTCTCTGGCAAAAATTTAAGCCTGACAACGTCAAGTGTTGGTAGAGATGTGCAGCAATGAATTCTATATACAGCCTGGTTGTACAGCCACTTTGGAAGCTATCTTACATAAAATAGAACAAGATGCACATTGTCAGGAATTCCACTCCTGAGTATATACTCTAGAACAGTGGTTCTCAACACAGCCCAAACATTAGAATCATCTAAGGGCTTTCTACTGATGCCCAGCCTCTGCTCTACATCAACTGAATTGTTATCTCTGGAGGTGGGAACTTGTTACTGGAAATGATTTTAAAAAACAACAGCAAACAAACTTGCACACCAGGTAGCTCCAATGTGCAGACCTGGCTGGGAAATATTTCCTGGGTATGTACAGAGCAGCCCTGTTTAAATAGTAAAAACTGAAAACAGCCCAATTCTCCATCACTAGAAGAGATAAATTGTGTTATGTTCATGTGTAGATTACCATGCAATAGAGGAAATGAATTAGTTATGTGTATAACCATGGATAATTATTTATTCTTAAATTTTATTTTCCAATTATAGTTGATGTACAATATTACATTAGTTTCAAGTATGCAACATGGTGATTAGAAATTTATATACCTCACAAAGGGATCACACTGATAAGTCTGGTAATCATAGGACACCATACATAATTATTACAATATTATTTACTATATTGTCTATGCTGTACCTTATAGCCCCATGACTTTTTTTTTTTTTTAACTCTCACCTGAGGGTATGTTTTAGAGAGAGGAAGAGAGAGAGGTGAGAAACATCAATCGGGTGCCTCCTGTATGTACCCCGACTGGGGATGAGTTCGAAACCTAGGCATGTGCTCTGGCTGGGCATCAAACCCACAACCTTTTGGTGCCTGGGACGACACTGTAACCAATTGAGCCACCCAGCCAGGGCCTGTGACTATTTTTATAACTGGCAACTTGTATTTCTTAATTTTTTTCAACTTTTTTACCCATCCCCCCACCTCCCTACCATCTGGCAACCATCAATTTGTTCTCTGTATCTCTGAGTTTGTTTCTGTTTTGTGTGTTCATTTATTTTGTTTTTCAGATTCCACATGTAAGTGAAATCATATGGTATTTGTCTTTCTCACCATGGATATTCTAACAATGCTGAGCACAAAAAGCAAGTCTCAAAATAAGACATGCCACTTAAGCTGAAAACTATCAGGGTTTATAAGATGAACACACAAAAGTCAGCAATAAACAATCCAAAAGGAAATTCATACAATTCCATTTACAGGAGTATCCAAAAAATAAAATACCTGGGGGTAGATTGAAACAAGGAGATGAAAGACTTGTGCATTGAAAACTATAACACATTGCTGAAATAAACTAAAGAAGACCTAAATAAACGGAAAGACATTCATCTTAATGAATCGGGAGATTTAATTTTGTTAAAATGGCAATACTACCCAAAGCAATCTACAGATTCAACGCAATTCCTATCAAAATTCTAATGACTTTTTTAGAAGAAATGGAAAAACCCATCCTAAAGTTCATATGGAATTGCAAGGGGCGGTGAATAGCCCATATTGAAAAAAGAACAAGCTTTGCACAGTGGCAGGATCATAGACAATGAGGTTTATCTGAGGCACGATTATTGCTAATTGAAAACTTTTCCCAGTACCCCGCTATGATGTCTTGAAATATAGTCGGCACTGGCAATTTTTGACAGTCTCTGTGGAGATTGAATTAAAAAAGAAAAGAGCCCTGGCCAGTTTGATTCAGTGGTCGCATCGCCAGCCCTCAGACTGAAGGGTTCCGGGTTCGATTTCAGCCAAGGGCACATACCTC